GTAGTTTAACTTTGTACGAAAAATTAATTATTGTTTTGACCAGTCTAGTGCATACGAGGGTACACCACCAGACCAGACCACCTGTGTTGGTGTAGTATAGCGATGTAATATATAGGTATATGGTATATATATGTCGTGAACAAGTACGTCTGCTACCCACGTGACCTCCTGACCTCCCGGACACTATTTATTTATTTCCATCACAAATATCTCGCTAAAATGGTCCTTTACCCACAATTTTCAATACAGCATATTACCGAGGAAGACTTCATCTACAAAACGTATATATTCAGTCTGCTGGGACATTTAATTTAGGTTTATTATAAACGAAAACAAATTGTTTTTCACGCTGCCCCATAGGAACACGTGCTAATAGTTACAACTTTGAGCTCGGATTTCTCAAAATTTTGACCCATTCGAAATATAATTTAGACCACCAGTAAATTCAGTAGACTTTTATTTACAAGAAACAATATATCTCTGTTTGCGGACTTTCGTGAAGGAGCCCCTTTAAGGGTTTAGTTACCACATAACTACTTATTTACAAACACTGAATTTCTGTACAAAAATTTACCTGTATAGTCTACAAACAGCTCGGAGGCCTTTTTTCTACTTCTCTGAATAAACCTCATATGTAAAGCTATGATTAATATAATTTCAACTAAGGAGTAATTTTTAAAAACATTTATCATAAATATTTGAAAAATTAATGTTATTTTGTGGTTTCTAACATTTTTGTTGTAACAAGGTCAGTACTTTTTAATTCAAACCTTGTGATATGACTTTGGTTGAAACCTAAGAAAACAAATTTTTTCTAAAGTTGTTAAGAATATTGAACTTACTTGTCACTTAAGCAGTATTTTCTCAGTAGGTTTATACACCTCATTATAACATTGTGCGGAGGTTTTGCTTCATGGAACAAATCGCCTCCAAGAAGTACCAGATCTACGTCTTGGTCCCTTGCATATTCGAGAATTTCTTCAAATGTTTGGAAGCTATCGTCATCCTGAGCTAAGAACAGTAAAAGGCATACTGGGATAAGATATACACATAAATGATTAACTTAATCGACAAATAAGTTATAAGTAGAGTTGAAATTCAAGACACTTAAAAAAAAAAGCGTTAAATGCAAAAAAGTTACACTGCAAATTGAGTCATGATAAGCGTCTACAGTAAATTATGAAACTTTCACCGCCTGCTAAAACAATATAGGCACCTCTTTTAGTAGTTTGCTCATAACCTAAGTGGATGTCAGTGGCAACAAGTATTTTCATTACATCTTCTTCGCTAATATTTTCTTTGTTTCCAATGTTTTCATTGTCACTATTAGAGCTCATCTTCTTTCTCGTATCATCCTCGTCTCGAAACATATTACTTTTCTTAATTTTCAACAATTTTTATAATTCGGTATATTCACCCATGAGTTCGTCTTTTAAAGCAAGTTTTGAAATTTCAGGCAGCGGCAGAGAATACGGCAGAGAAAATAGAACATAGACATATAAAAAATAGACTGCTCGTTCGTATGTACGACACTGAAGCACAAGTAGAAAAAGACACATTATCGAACGTGTAAATTAGGAACTTTCGGATTTCAGAAGCACTGGACTGTACATCCATCTCTCTCGCAAGTCGCAAGTCGCAAGTTGCCAACGGTAGGGTGGTTGCATCTTGCACAGATATGGGTCTGTATAAAACTCAATGTCCTAAATGTAATTTCATACGTGTATAAAAGTCGGTATGAAACTGTCGAAAACTTTTGAACTTTCTTACAGTTTATGACGTGTATAAAATTGTATCGAGCTCATAACCTTTAAATGTTTGAAATATTTGTTTTTATTTGGCTACAGTCTTCAGCACAAACTTAAATCTCAAATTTAAAAAATAGTCTGATTCAACGTTTGTAAATGGTATATTGCAACCAAAAAAAAAGTTGCTAATGCTTCATCAATCATTTTTTTCCTGAATAAATAAGTAAATTGTAATTATGTTTGTCCCATAAAATTAAAAAAATTTAAATTGCAAATCTTTAAAGGTCCATTTCTATATTATCCTAGGGTTGTAAGTTGAAAATTAACGTTATTTTTTGTTTTAGAGAAAATTTTTTCAAAACTATCAATGTATGAAGTAAAGTACTCAAAATCAAATATAACAGTTATACTAACCTTTTTTCCGTAATTTTGCCACGTTTTCATGTTATCGACACTTACATCCGTTTTCAACGTTTCATACGATTTCATACAGTTTAGGACAAATGACGGTATAAAACTAGGAGAATCATACATTTACCCATTCCTGGAGCCGTACCATATAACTTTTTTTAGCTTCGCGGGCCTATGTTATAACATAGGCCGATGTACAGAAAAATTGTTATATGGTACGGCCCCTGATCTTGCATCAGCTTCAGCTAGCCTTAGTTTACTAACCATAGACATATAAGAATGTAGACTGCTCATTTTTGTGTGCTGTGCTGAAGCACGAGTAGAAAGAGACACAACATCGAACGCGAAAATCTGTCTCTCCCGCACATTGCCAAAGGTGAGGGTCGGTAAACTAAGGCCAGCTGATGCAACCACGCCACTGACCCCGCCGTTGGCAACGTGCGAGAAAAATAGATGTAGACGTTCAATATTGTGTCTCTTACTACTTGTGCTTCAGCTTCAGCACTATACATAAAAATGATAAGTCTATTTTTTGTATGTTTATGTTACTGATCCCCACCTTTGACACTGTGCAAGAGCAACAGATTTTCACGTTCGATGTTGTGTCTCTTTCTACGCGTGCTTTAGCATCGCACATAAAAACGAGCAGTCTACAATGGTCTACATTCCTTATATGTCTATGGGACTATAGGCTGCGAAAGTAGCCAACGGAACGTCACTTACGTCACTGCGTCAGAAAAAAAGGTTCCCTCTCTATTTAGACCAAGAGCTGAGCCGAGGGTGGACAAAATTGGCTGTGTGACATGGGCACCCGAACTGTTTCTAAAAATCTGCAAAAATAGCCAAAAAATTGCGCTAATTTCCTCGAATTTCCGCTACTTGTAAAACAATTGCGCGTGACATACTGCTGTAGTAATTAATTATTATTTTCGGGTGCTGGGTAAATTTTCAATCATCCATTACAATAAATCTATCACACGCAGCTTAATAACAAGAACGCCATTAATTTCCGCGTAACACGCAGAATAAAATTGACTCTTGAGTTGTTATAAACTATTAACAGTTATGTAGTGCGCAAATATTTATTTATTTGCGTATTACCACATCAACTATACTATATCTATGTATATGTTGAAATACGCATGCGCGAGAAATTCGCTCTAACAAAATCGTCTGCATCTGGGATGTTATGAAAGCCTATATATATATGTAGTAATACATACACTGATAGGTTTACACGCTATAGTGTGGACTGTTAAAAGTTTTGGAGTTTGGACTTTGGAGTGTTTGCGTTTGGACGGTTTGGAGTGTATAGTATACAAATAAAATAAATATACGGCTGTTGTCAAATTTCGGTTTTAATTGAATAATTTGTATTTATTATTGTGTCTAGCGCCAGTGAGGGCGGCATCACTCATACTGCGAACTGCGAACTGCGAGTCCTGTGTATTTTTGCCTGTATGTCCTCTAATCGGTAGTATTAGAAAAATATATCTTGTATAACCGATATAACCCCTTTATCTCTACAAATTTGCCAACACTATACACAAAAAAAATTATACTTCACTTTTTATGAAAATTATTAAATGGATGTGCGCAGAGATATTGTAAACCCAAGTAGAATTAAATTTATTTTTAAGATAATAGATTCAGATACGTAATTANTGAGTGGTTTTAAAGGTAATTTTCGGCAACTAGATATTTGTGGATCAGATGCAATCAAAAATCGTTTGAAGACATCCTCCATTGTCTTTTGACGATAATGTTTTCTTGCAAAATTTGTGCGATGGATTTTAAAAAATTTATTGCAAGCTTCCTGCGCATCTTCAGACATTTGACCCATAGGCAACACTGAATATTTTATTATTATTGGGCCATGAATCAAAAGTTTGTGAACTTATGTGGGCATGTAATACGAGGGATATTTTTGTACAATATCTTTTGCTAATTTGACAGCATACTCGCGGAAATTTTCTTCGTGTATACCATCACTACAGGCGATAGTTTGCAAAATAATATAAAAACGATGTATGATATCTTGATCAATTCCTGTTATTTTTGCAGATTTTTGATAGTTCTCAAAAAGACCTCGAGCCGTATTTCCGTCGTTTGAAGTTCCACTACCTGCTTTTGATACGTCAACAGTTAAGCCTAATTCTTTTTTGAAGGCTGCTTAAATATTACCTTTTTTTTTTGATCGTGATTCTTTTTCTTCTTTTGTCCGAACTTGCCATTTTTCAATGTCAAGTTTGTAAGATAAATGTAATAAAAACTTAAAGCATCGAATCCAACAATGTAAAGTTGACCGGCCAAATTGTAAATGAGCTTCTTCAATTTTCCGTTCTAACATTTTATCTGTATCGTCAAATTGACTAGATGTACAATTACATAAATAGCAACGCATCGCGGATGTTGTATCAGTAATTGAATTACAAACTGTAGTATTTATCACCGTCAACCTCAAATCATATTTAATAGATACTTCTTTCCCAGAGATAGTACTAGTTAATGGAATCAACTCTCGTATTTGCCGCTCAACGTTATTTATTGTATCTTTTGTTAAATCTACTGATTTTTTAGCACATTTTATTGAAACAGGCCGACAATATCTTGTTGACGATGTTCTTAGATTTTTCCATACAACAGTTATTTCTTTTGTCAAAGTGTTGGTGTGAAAAAGTTGTAGTGGAACTACAGATGTAGAAAAATACTCTCATCGCTATTGCTGTTCTCGTCAAGCTTTTGTTTGCACGCAGAGTGTCCTGAACTACCATCGCAGCCCCATTTACAAAATAAAGTTAAATTTTTTAGTTTATCCTCTGATAAAGTTTTCACTACTTCCATTTGAATTGAAAGAATACGATCCAATGTATGATCTAATAGAAGTTGTAATTTTACTTCAGCTTTATCTACAGTAAAAGAGAGTCTCGAAGTTGGGTAGCATTGCAATTTTGACTTTAGTAGCTTTTTGTATGAAGGTATCATGTTTGATTTATTTTCCAAATGAGCGTTACGCAACTGTTGGTATTTACTTTGTGATAACCCAAGTTCAATAAACAGAGACAAAGCTTTGTCACTTGTAAAAAGAATATTTGTATAACCCACGGATTCCAAACTTTTTCTATATTTTTTAGCTTTCGTAGAACTACTTTTTGTAATAGCATCTACTATCATAGCAAAATCTGTTTTACCTTCAGCCCGCAATTTACTTTTTGCAGAATAAAAGTTCGTCTGTCGATACTGTTGCTCATAAATTTTCAGTTTTTCTTCGTTTACTACGATCAGAAGACTGAAAAACTCACTCCTGGACGACCTGGGGTAGATTGCTTTGTGACAGATTTTTCTTTCTCTGGTTAGTGTAAATCTACTGGTTTTGATAGCCAATCTTGATTTTTCCTTAGGAAATTTTCTTATGTTCGATTACTATCGTTCCACTTTTTTTTCATCTCGGATATCAATTTTGCTACTTTCATTTGCTCGTCATTTGACAATATGTACTGACATTTATGCGTTTTAGACATGAAATTTTCTATCATTATATATATACTATATCCTCGATGTCTTTTTAAATTTTTTTATTTATTATATTGAACAGTTTTGATCTTGTTATTTTATCTTCCGTTGAAGTACTGGATCCTAAAAAAATAAATAAAACTTTTACATTAAATATTCGCAACGAATATTTACAGTGAATTCGTTTCAAACATGAGGCACTTCTAATCTTATACATACACACGTGCGCACACGCACATTTTAGTTATATTAGGTGCTTTCAAGTGCGTATATTCGCCGTCTCACTTGCTCATTCTTGTAAATAAATGTACAAAAAAACTTAACGGGCAGCAACGGGCAGCTAATTTTTTTTGGTACATAAAAATATTATCAACAACTTTCAATAACTTAGAGAGCAGGATTTATCAAGATAAAAAAGTTTTCACTCGACTATGTAGATAACAAAAAAAATAATAATAAGACACAGTCTGGACATATCTCTTTTTAACAATTTACTATTTAGTATTTTATAAGCAGAATTTTTTTTAAGTATTATACTTACCTTCAGATGTAGAATCCATTTGTTTGTTTAAGGTTTACTTGGCAGTAAAAACTTTCACACGTGTTCAATGCAAGCGTTTATTAATCGATTTTCCCTATGCATGGCTACACGTGCCGTAACGGCCACATTCAGACTAAGATTATGGAAGGGATTCAAGGCAAGGGACCTCACTCTGAACATTTTTCGACTTTTAGGGGACTCCTTTAGCCAACTTGATGACAAAAAAACCTTAACTAAAAACTTTGAAGCAAAGATGTATCGCAT